ACAGGTCTGTGGAGAACCCCGTGGATCAGCTAATGAGTCCTTCTCACCTCTCTTTCTGCCTTGGCACTACGCCCTGCACCTGGCAGCCCGTACCCTGTGCGTGTAACGCTGAAGGTGTTCTCTGCTCACGAGCAGTCTCAACCCACAAGCGAAACGACCTCATCCTCCTAAAGCCTCGCTTCTTAAACTGTGGGTCCTCAGCCCCTGTGGAACCGAGTAACATTTTTAAAACTTTATTTAAAAGTAGGGAACAAGTAAGGCGAACAGAAGCCACCCTGTCTTCTGTCCTTTGTGTGTGTGTGTGTGTGTGTGTGTGTGTGTGTGCGCACGCACGCGTGCGTGCGTGTGTGTGTGACACACAGACCTTGCATTTACAGCTCCCGCAGAGGTCTCGAAGGACCTGCCACGGTGAAGGAGCCATAAACGTTGCTGACAAAAATGTATCTTTCTCCAACTTGCCCACCTCCAAATTCCAGAGCCCTTACTGCAACGATGTGTTGGGACGACTATTATTATTTTTTTATTAAGTAAATAATTTTTTTATTAGTGAAACACCAATGAGGTCCAGTTGTAGACTTACAAATTTTTGTACTTGGGTTTCATTTATACACTGATCAAGTACCCATCCCTCCACCAGTGCCCATTCTCCATCATTTACATTTTTTTTTAATTTTTATTAGTGAGACATCATGAGGTACAGTTGTAGACTTACAAATTTTTGTGCTTGGGTTTCAGTTCGACAGTGATCGAGTACCCATTCCTCCACCAGTGCCCATTTTCCTCCACCACGGGCCCCAGTATCCCTCCCATCCCCTATCCCCCCCAGTCCCACCCCACCTCTGTGGCAGGGCATTCCCTTTTGTTCTCTCTCTCCTTTTGGGTGTTGTGGTTTGCAATAGAGGTATTGAGTGACCATCGTGTTTGGTCTATAGTCTACTTTCGGCACACATCTTTCAACTCGAATGGGTCTCCTCCCAACATCCTTTAATTGGTGGTCAATGGACGAAAAACAGGATGGTCGTGATCGTCATGATTTAAAAGTAAAATTCCTTGATGTATTATGAGTAACTTTTTTTTATTTGTTTACCCATTTTTGTAGACCTGTATGCCCAGAATGTCATAAAAATTTCTCAGTGACAAGGTGTGGCAAGAGGAAAAAGTTTCAGCACCCGCCTCTACAAGCCTTCTAGGCACCTTGGGAGATACTCCCCCACACCAGCTATCACTGCTCTCAAGGACAAAACTGTCGTTGTTGGTCTAGACTTTAGAGCTTGCCTCTGCATAGGAAGAATTGTGTGTGTGTGGGGGGGGGGGAAGCAGTGGAGGTTTCAGGTAAAGTATGCTTTCCCAAGTGGGCAAATCCCGGTGCTTGCTGCCTCCCGCCTCATCCAAGGATCACCCGCCTCCTTTTCCTGCCTGCCATGGTCCCTCTCCCCAGGAGTCCCGGCTGGCAGAGCTGCAGGAGCCAAGGCTGCACTTCTGCATTGCGGCTCTGAGCTCTTGGAGACAAAGAGGGAGATTGCCACCTATTGACTGATGTGCCGCCTGCAAAGAGGGATCTTGGAGAACTCGCAGCTTCCCACTTCTCTGTGATCTTAGGAAGGAGAGGGTTGTCCGTGCTGTTTCCCAGCCATTCAGTTCAGTCCTCTTGCTCTCGGCATGGGCATTCCAAAGGAGGGAGAGGGGGCAGGCGACTGGCTGCCTGAGTGAGGGCGGCATCCAGAGGGAAGTTTTGTTCTATACCTGCCACAGGCTATATAAAGTGTTGAAAGACTCACTGCAAACACATCTGCAAATCAGTTGTCTGCTGTACTGCTTTAGATCAGTCCTTTGCAGGTAGGTCCGTTGAAGGTAGTCAGTTGGCTTTGCTGAGCAACATTGAACCCCTGCACAATTCTCAGTGTGATTAAGGTTCCCATTTTACGCAGGAGTAAACTGGGGTTTAAGGAGTACCTGCCTGCCCGTGATGTGGCAAATATGGAGCAGAGGTGGGACGTGGGAACTCAGATGTCCTGAATTCAGATGCCCTGGCTCACTAAGCTCCTTCCCCTCACGTTTGCCGATTTGCTCATTTTGCGCATCACTTTACAGCCCCCTCATAATTTCCTTCATTCTAAATCCTCTTGAGATGGAAATAAATCAAAAGAGGATGTTCTTTTCTTTCGGTTGGGTAGAGTCATAGCTCTTCCTCTCTCTAGTTTCTTAGCCAGTGACTCAGTTCCCTCATCTGTAAAATGGGTGTGATTATAATGTCTAATTTAAGGTTGTTGTTTAGAGCTTAAGATCTACAATAAATGAATATAAATAATTATCCCTTAGCAAGTAAGAGGTATTTATAAAATGGAAGCGTCACCATCTCTTAGCTTTGGGGTCTCAGGAAAGTTACTTGGCCTGACTGATCTTCAGTTCTGTTCTATACCTGCCACAGGCTATGTTGCAGGAAGACCTATGTGCATTACATTGATAATATTTTGCACAGGCTGCTTGCATTATAACTAATTCTTTACTTCGGAATGTATTTTCCATCTTGACAGGGCGGAGAAAGTAGTTACCCTAATTTACAGATGTGGAAACTGAGACTCCAAGTGTTAAAGGGACTCGCTACAAACACATGGCTCTAAATGATGAAAGGCTGTGGGTGTGTGGGTCTGTGTGCTGTCCTCGAGTAGAGGCGTATGTGTTTTGAGTGTCCTTTATTTTTTTATCAGTGTCCCTCAACATATCATTTAGATGGAGGGGAGAGGAGAAAGTTGTCTTGTCTAGACTGTTTTAAATGCTTGTCCCCGAGTGTCTTTTTCTCTTCCTGGCTTGCTTTCCACTGGCTAAGGGGACTTGATTTTATCCTCGGTCTTGGTTCAGGACGCAGCCTTCCCATTCCCCCTGCCTTCTGGGAATAACGTTCTCTTTTCTTCCCTGCCTGCCAGTGTTATTTGAATTCGCCTTAGCAACATCTAGAAATAATGGGTTTAGCACCAGCTTGGGAGCCAATGAAACGTGAGCACGGGAAGGCGTTCTCCGCCAATGGGAGCGTTACTGGCAAGACGACTTGGGAGTGAAAAGAATAGGCTGGAGTTTGCGGAGCAGCCTGCAGAGGGCAGCAGACCTGCTGTGTTGCGCACAGCCTGTGTTCCTTCCTTTTTTGTTTTCTTTGCGCTAAGGAAACTGACCACAAGGTCTGCAGTGTTAAAGGCCTTATGGGAGGGAGTTCTCCACAGGATCGCGCCTGGGTTCTTGGGTTCCATTTCCACTTTGACTGCACCTTCCCCTGACTCTTTGGCATGTCCTGCCGTCCTTTTCGGTCCTGTCACAAAACCCAGTGGGTTATGACTGGAGGCCTGGGGTGATCGCCTGCCTGGCTGGGAGAGACTGAAGCAAGGAATCCCATTCTCCTTTGTTCAGTCCCCACTGCTGCTGGGCTGAAAATAACCCAGTGGTGTGGGGCTGACTTACTGCCACAGTAAATTAACTGTGAGGAAAGAAGTGTGTCACCACAGATTAGCACCAGTGTGCACCCTTATTTTCAGTGATATGATTGGAGGTGGTGTCCGTCGTCATTTTTGCAGCATTACGTCTGACCTTGTTTAAGGCTAGTTCGGTGTGTCAGATGGTTTGGCCATTTGAGCTTGAAGCCTGAGGTGGATTTCGTGAAGAGGGACTGAGTGGGATCTAGTTAGTAATAGCAGATCCGTATTTCCCAAGGTTTGACCATCCTTTCTTGTGGGTGGAGGGGTGGGGCCACATTCAGCAGTGCTCAGGACCTTGCTCCTGGCCCTGTGCTCAGGGATCACTCCTGGAGGCGCTTGGGGGACCGTATGAGGTGCCGCAGATCAAACTAGAGTTGGCCGCATGTAAGGCAAGTGCTGAGTATCCTCAGTTTGCCTTTTGAATTATAGCACCACTGCTCAGTGAGGGTCTGGTTCTGCGTATCCATATTCCTCTGAGACATTTGTATTTATTCTGCCATAACCTTCACATCCTGCAGGAATCAGTCAGGGCGTCTAGCTCCAGGCAGTCCTAATGGAGACTCTCCTCCCTGCACCCTCCAGCTCCCTGTTCCTCTTGCCGTTGCACACACGAGCCTTTCTTATATGGGGCGAGGGCAGTAGGGTATTCCCCACGCTGTGCTTAGGGAACCACGGGGACCACTCCCAGCAGTTCTCAGGTCTGGCTTTGCAGTGATGCTAGAGCCGTCAGGTGTTTGGGAAGCCTTGTGGTGCCTGGAATCAAACTTGGGGTTTGGGACATGAAAGGCATGTGCCCTTGACCCTTCATCCTTTGCTTAGCCCTGTTGCATTTTTGGTGAGTTTCCTTAGAGAGTCATGGAGCTTTCGAAGGGACTACGTATGTCTTTATATCTCCAGTTTTTTGGTTTCTTTGTTTGCTTTTGATTTTTGGAGCACACCCAGCACTGCTCGGGGTTTATTCTTGGCTCTGTGCTTAGGGACCTCTCCTAGCAGTGCTCAGAGGCTCAGATTACAATGCTGGGATTGAAAGTACCCAAACTACCTCTCCAGTCCTCTCTCCAGTTGTTAATGTAATGTTGGTTAAAAAAAAAAGGCCCTCCCGTTGATCATCGATTTGCTCGAGCGGGCCCAGTAACGTCTCCATTGGAGACTTTGTTGTTACTGTGTCTGGCATATCGAATACGTCACAGGGAGCTTGCCAGGCTCTGCCGTGCGGGCGAGATACTCTCGGTAGCTTGCCGGGCTCTCTGAGAGGGGCAGAGGAATCGAACTCAGGTCGGCCATGTTGGCTGCGTGCAAGGCAAATGCCCTACCACTATGATACTCAATAAATATTTGTAGAGGGAAGCATGCGTGCGAAAAAGGAATTTCTCCTCAGGGCTAGCTGAGCCTGGGCTGCAACGCTGCTTCTATCCTTGGAATCTCTTGGGCCTTGGGAACTTGATTCCAAACCGTTCCTGAACTTGAAAATGTTGTCACTCTTCCCTGGCAAGCTCAGCTCAGTGACACGGTTTCCTTGATGATTCTGTGTTTCAGGAAGAACTAAGGAGCAAATCCAAGGTCTGTGCCAATGTGTTTTGTGGAGCTGGCCGGGAGTGTGCAGTCACAGAGAAGGGGGAGCCCACCTGCCTGTGCATCGAGGTAAGTCCTGACGTCAGGGGGCAGTGGACGCTGCCAGGGCTAGCGTGGCGACCTCGAGGAGCTGCCAAGTGGCAGAACAAGGCCAGTGTTTCATCATCTTTGTAAAGACACACCGTGTCTCTCTGAAAGATGTAAAAATTTCAACCCAGGAGTTAAGATTCAGGCTTGAAAACAAGACGTTTTCTTTCTTTTCAGAACAAATTTTAGCTTTGAAAGACTTGATTGTATTGTTTGTTTCTGTTCCACATTCAGCAGCGCTCAGGGCTTACTCCTGGCTCTGCACTGGGCATCACTCCTGGCAGCCCTCAAGCGGCCATATATGGTTTCAGGGATCAAATCAGAGTCCACTGACTGCCCCTCTATCTCTCCAGTGCCATGAATTTGAAATTAAAAATGAGCAGTTGGTCCAGAGACATAGCCCAAAGGGCTGCACTCATGCTTTGCATGCAGGAGGAGGGTTCAATACCTGCATCATGTGATCTCCACAGCACTGCCAAGAGCAAGCCCTACGCAGTAAGCCGGTCATAGTCCAAAGACACAACAGAACAGGAACCAACAAGGAACAATTACTTCATACAAGTCAATAAAGCAGACATTTATACAAATGACAAGTTAATCCTCTTTTCCATAATCCTCAAAACAATGCTCATTAGTCCAAAATAACTTTTGTTAACGGTCAGAGTATATTTATACCTCATTTCTTTCTATGCTACTGTAATTTTAATTAAGATTTTCCCATAATTCACCCAAAATGGAATGATAATAGATACAGATATAGGCAAATTGCCTTTTGTATCATAAGTATATCCTAAGCTTCCAAGCCAATATGAATAATTCAGAGACTATAAAAACAGCTCCCAGAACCGCGCGGCCACATTCACGGCCATGCGACATCTTATTATGACATCTTATTATCTCATTCCTACTTTGGACAAACTGGCAGGCTACCGAATGTAACCTGCCCACACGGCAGAGTCTGGCAAACTCCCCATGGCGTACCCAATATGCCAAATACCAGTAACAATGACGGGTCTCATTCTCCTAAAGAGCCTTGAATTTCGCACTTTCTTAAAAAACTCAGGGCTAGGATGAAGGAGACGTTACTGGGGCCTGCTTGAGGCAATTGACGAATAACAGGATGGTCGTGATTCGTGATGAATAATTCTAACTCATTTTTAAACAAGTACATAGAGTTTTAGGAAGATTTGTTCCCTCTGGGTACTTGAAGACAGGCGCCATTGTGGGCTTTTCCCCTTGTGCAGCAACGCAGTCAGGATTCAGCAATAAGTAGCGGTTGAGTCAGGCTCTCTGGGCATGGTGTTCTCTCTGCTAGTGGAAGAAGTAGGGCTGCCTTCCAGCTCCAGTGTTCTCTGTTTCTTTTCACCTCATCTGCTCTTTCTTGCATTGGTGCCTTTATAAAGTCTGAACTGAATGTGTTTTCCCCTCCTTCCTTTGAAAACACCACGGCAGTCTAGAGAAACAAAGCTTGTCTGTGATGATGGCACTTTAAAAAGCCAAAGTAGAACTGTGCTGCCAAGTGAACTTTGGTCCATTTCCCTGTCTAAAGTGATTTTCTGTTGTGCTTCACGAAGACCAGGCACTCATGCCCAGCCTCCCAACAGGCACTAGGAGGTGAGGAGGGAAAGAAAATGGTCCAGAAATACAAAGCAGGGTGAGAGCAAAGATCCTCATAGGACTCCAGGAGAATTTGTGATGGTGGTAGGGTGGTAGTGCATATGCGCATGCGTGTGTGTGTATGTGCGCGCGTGTGTGCATGTTTCCATGTGAGTGCTTGTGTGCTTCTCAGTGGCCACATTTCCAACTTCACTCTCAGCTCTAGATGTTTGTGTTGGAACTTTAAGGACTCTTAGGTCATCTAAAGACAGTGACTTCCTACAAAGTGACAGAGTAACAGAGAATCCATAGTCTTCACTAATTAAATGCCCTTCTGGCTAATCTTATTAAATCAAAGCACCTCCTTCATAATGAATGGAAGAGATGACCCTGTGCTGAGATTGCCCGGCAGACCATGTGGGCTGAGAGGCAATCGAGTTCGTCCAGCACTGAATTGGGTCATTGATGACAGGACTGAGGCTCCCTGTATCCTGATGAGATTGAGATTGCCCCTGCCCTGGGGAGTCCCTTCATAGGGGAGCCTTGTCCATGGAAGTTTTGGGATGGTATTAGAGTCCTTGACTACAGCAGCCTCCCCTGTGGATCTTTTTGCAGCAATGCAAACCTCACAAGAGGCCTGTGTGTGGCAGCAATGGCAAGACCTACCTCAACCACTGTGAGCTGCATCGAGACGCCTGCCTCACTGGATCCAAAATCCAAGTGGATTATGATGGGCACTGCAAAGGTAAATGTGTTATCCCCATAGGTAATTCCACTACCGGGAGCCAGGTAACAGATGTGTGACCTCGCTTCCAGCAATCCTTTTTTCCCAGACCTCAGCCCCACATTCGTAGAGGCTACCCAGTGGTTTGGAGATGCTTTGTCTTAGTGCCCCTAAGCTAAGAATGCCTTGGATGGACTAGGCCTCTGCCTAGGGTTTCCTGCCTGAGAATACCAGGCGAGCTTTTAGCATTGTCTTCATCTGTAGAGGATAAGGGAAGCACATCAATAATAATAATAAGGAGGCGTTTAGATGCTTTCTGTAGGCCAGAGAGATAGTACAGAAGGAAAGGCACTTGCCTCACAGGCTGCTGTGGTGGCTACAACCCTGGTTGAAATATTCTGCATCACATTTGTACCCCCAAGCACCCCAAGGGATCACTCCTGAGCACAGAGGCAGGACTAGCTCCTCATACCATTGGGTGTGCCCCAAAAACAGACTGAAAAGATTGTTTTACCTTTCTAGAAAACAGGTAAGTTTCACATTTTCCAAATTGTCTGAATTTGGATGGACACCTCTCAACCCTGGCAGTATTCTGTTTCTCTGTTTGGCACCCAGCTGTTATCATTGGAAGAAGAGGGAGCGTGTCCCAAGCTTGTGGCTAATTAGACACCAGATTTGCTCGGCCTTGAGTTTCCCTGAAGAAACAAGAAACTTTCCTACCTGTTGGGTTCCACTCCATCTCCCTTTCTATTAAAGACTCCTTACGAATGCTCAAAGTCCAGGCACCCACAATCCCCTTCAACCTGAGAAAAAAGCATCAGACAAGACCTCTCACTGACCTGAAAAATATCAAAGGAAACAGAAATCACAGTACTTGGATTCTGGATGAAGGAAAGAGATAAACGGATGAAAAGTTTACAGATGCTCCCCGTCCTTATGCAGTTTTCTTATTTTTCACCCTGCATGATCTATCCTCCCCTTTTGTTTTGCAGAAAAGAAATCTGTAAGCCCATCTGCCAGCCCAGGTAAGTTCCTGTTTTTGTTTTTCACAGTCTTCATCTTAGGGATGAAATTCCTTTCATGGGGGAAAATTTTTGTTCCATAGTAGCTACCCAAGCTCACAAGATCTTGTGTCAGAACCTGTGACCCAGAACTGCTCCCGCAACACAGTTCAGAAGAGCTGCAAAACTGTGCTTTTTGTGCAGAAGTCTAAAGCAGTTAGTTGGGTACCTCAGTGCTATTTTTCATTTTCACTGAAAAGTGATTGAACGAAGACAGGAAACCTATTGCATCCCTGCTTCAGTGTTCCCTGAGATGCACAACTTTTTTGAAAAACATTTTTCCTGTTGCCCTTTCACTGGCCCTTGCACAGCCCAGCACATGTGGCCTCCCAGGAATTTCCATTTGTCAAGGCGCCCCCGTCCTGCCTCCCTTTGCACCTGGCTCTCAGCCCCTCCTGCTGTCTCCATGTGTCTTAGGACAGCTGTCCAGAGCAAGACCAACCCAGCTTTTCTTGGCCACACGTCTGCCCCCTTGTAACAAAGACTAATGCAAATGGTGTAAAATTTCAAGTTAGAGAAAGTTGTTGGCAAGCCAAGCAGATAGGAGAAGGAAAAGCTGAAAGAGAGAATCAGGAAACCAGTGGCATAAAGGACAATGATCTTCTCATGGATTCTTTCATTTTAGCTCTTCTTGGAGCCAAAAGAGCTGTCCTGATGATTCATTGTTCAATCACTAGAACTTCCTAAAGTAAATGGAAGTGTACTTTATTTTTCTATTCTACATCTTTATTTTTATGTTTTTTTAGGGGGATCTACTCTCATTTTTGCTCTGGGCTTAGCCCCTGGCTCTGCAGTCAGGGATCATTCTTGGCAGGGCTCAGAAAACCGTATGTGGTGCTAGGAATTGAATCCAAGTGTGCTGCGTACAGGGCAAATGCCTTACTGATGTATTGTCTTTACAGTTTGTTTCTCAATCCTGAATCTTTATTTTTTAGGAACAGGCTTAGACACTTTCCAATGTGTGTGTGCCATTGTAAAATTGCATGATCCTCATTTCCCTGAAGATGACGCGTGCAAAGCCCTGGGCACATGGGGGTGCTGGGTGGAACCAAGGCCCCTTCCCAGCTGCTGACTCACCGCCTGTTCTTCTCCTGCAGTTGTGTGCTACCAGTCCAACCGTGATGAGCTTCGCCGTCGCATCATCCAGTGGCTAGAAGCAGAGATCATTCCAGATGGCTGGTTCTCTAAAGGCAACAACTACAGTGAAATTCTTGACAAATACTTCAAGGTAACCTAGAGTTGGGTCAGCACCAGAGCCAGGAGACATTCTTCTCCTAGTGCCTGAACATCACCCCAGACTACAGGAAAATAGAAACCCATGTAGAATCCCAAAATGTTTCCTCACCATAGGTGAAAAGTGGGATAGTGGCCTTCAGGCCAGCTTGACCAGTGTGAGCGTAGCCACTGAGTCTCAAGATCTGAGGTATGTTTGTGACTTTTTGGGCAGTTGAAACTGCAAAGGTCTTGAGGAGCCTGTCCATGAGAAATGTGGCCAGGCCCTGGTCTCCTGCCTCATGTGGCACCTTGTCAGACTTGCTGCTGGTCCACAGTACCTTCTTATCTTACCCGGAAGCAGGCTGCTCAGCTTCTTGCCTGCCCACGCTGCCTTTTCTGAGTACCTTAAGCAACCACAGCTTACAGAGTTCTTCGCCATTGGCTGCAATTTCATGGGTCCAGTATTCTTCACAAACAAACACATTACTGCTTCCTTCCTGTTGAGTGGAAGAAAGAAAGATTGTTCCAGTTGGGGACAGGAGATATGCTGCTTTCAAAAAGAAAAGTGAGGGAAGAAACTGTAGTTGGTGATGGAGATCTTTTGTGGCATGGAGATCTGTCAGATACCTGCAAGCAGTTACTAGAAACTAATAAGAGTGCTTTTCCTGTTGGTTGACAAGAAGAGAGATGTTGGAGCAGACGAAAATACAGGGCTTAAGGTGCTTGCCTTGTATGCGGCCCACACCAGCATCACTTTTGTTTTCTGTCGTATTGCTCCTCAAGACCTTTGCAGTTTCAACTGCCCAGAAGAGTCACAAACATACCTCAGATCTTGAGACTCAGTAATCCTGAGCGCCAGGGTCAGGAGTAAGCTCTAATCACAGCCAGGGGAGCCCTAACATCCCCTCCCCTCAAAAAGCCCACAGGTGTATAATACACATGTGTACATTACATGCAGAGATACAATACCACACATAGAAGCACATATGTCCACACACACCAGCCGCATACAGAGGTATGCATGTCCACGGGCACTCATTGAGGTTCCCGCCAGGGAACTTCCCATATGGAAGCCTCTCCAGGTGGAGTCTGTCATGATTCTCTCCATGCACAAAGGACATGTCTTAGAGAGCACACACTTGACATGGAATGTTCATGGAAGGAGAGTCAGGTGCTGTGTCATTCCCTTATCCCTACATATATGGAGAGACTTGCCCTCCAGAATTCCTCACATCCCGGAGAACCACTTTGAAAATAACATGAGGGTGTTGATTCTTTCTCAGAATAACAGGATGAGGCAGGTTTAGGGCAGGAATTTTGTAAAAACAATTTTTTCTTTTTAGGAAAGAATTTACTCAGAGCATTCGATATGCCAGACACAGTAACAACAAAGTCTCCAATGGAGACGTTACTGGGCCCGCTCGAGCAAATCGACGATCAACGGGAGGGCCTTTACCTTTACCTTACCTTACTCAGGGTTCACTCTTGGCAGTGCTCAAGGGACCCTATGTGATATTGGAGATCTAACTAGGGTTTGCTGTGTGCAAGGCAAGCGCCTTAAACTCTGAACGTCTCTCCAGCCTCAGGAAAGAATATGTATCTTGGAATTTGATCAGAGTTTTGAAATCGACATCCTCCTGCTGCAGACCCTCATGTCCCAAGTGGCTCAGGTCTCAGCTTAACATCTTGCCCAGGACATAGACAGTCCCTACTCTTCCCTGCATCCTTGCCTCCAGGTTCTGAATCACCAGCTGGTCTCAGGACAACCTGCACTGGACAGTCCCAGACCCTCTCTGTCAAGGCAGCAGAGGAAGTTGAGAGGGGGTCCAAGGCACCCCGTGAATCTGCTGGTACCCACTGCCTCTGACTTCTCACTGAGATGGTTGTGTAGGATACTAGAGTAGCAGTTTAAAGGTGAGAGCAGTCCAGGAGCTGGAATCAAGCACTAAGAAATGGTGTCGTGATTTCCAACTCGAAGCTCAAAGTGAGCCTGCTGATGCTCCCAGCAACTCGACTCCAGAACTGAGACCAGTGCACAACTAGGAGCTTCACTTGAGTTCTTGGGCAGAGGGTGGTAGCTGTTCTGAAATCAAAAACAAAGCCAGGATGCTGGCATGCCGGTGGCAGGAATGGGCACCTCTGCTTCCAGTGCAGGCCTGGGTCAGTTTCCTGCCATGCTCTAGGTCTTTGGAAGGCTCCTGGCCTCCACCAGGCACTTTCATGCTCTCTTTCAGCTACCCTCTGGGCTCTCTGGGGCTTTAAACCCTCGTCAGTCTTTGGGGCTGTAGGTCAGGTAGAGTTGGAATGTGTCCACAAACTAGATCCATGGGAGATGGGCCAAACCTGCAGTGGGGCAGAGGAGGTACTGGGGTCGTACTGATTACCCCTGAAAGACATCTTCGTCCCCTTTCTAGAACTTTGACAATGGTGACGCTCGCCTGGATTCCAGCGAATTCCTGAAGTTCGTGGAACAGAATGAAACTGCCGTCAATATCAGCACTTACGCAGACCAGGAAAACAACAAACTGCTTAGGTGAGCAGACTGGGGCATGGAATGGCAAGGTCCACCAGGAGGCCAGACGATGGGAGAATTGAACCCCTTCTGGTGCCAGTGGGAAGTAGAGAGCTAATTAGGAGGCTACAAGGGGTGCAGTGCTCATCTGTACGTGAGCAGCCTGGCTTTGGTCCCTGCACCTTGCCAGGATAACCCATGGGCATGCTGGGTGTTGCCTCGGAACAAGCCAAAAGCAGAATAGGAATTCTGACCCCTCATCTCACCAAATACTTATTGTTTGGGGCCAGAAATTGCAATAGAAAAATGTAATTTTAAACTTAATTATCAAGATTACACCAGAGCGAAGTTGTTTCTGAGTTTTGGTGATTTTTTAAAATGGTTAATTTTCGGAAGGTATTACTTTAAAGAATTGTTTAACTCTAGATCTGACACAGCTTTCATTCTGATTTACAGAATAATCGTGCTATTTTATTTATTTAGAGTCATAATAATCATAAATATAAGCATATCCCTCTTTATCCTGTCTTTTGTTATTGGTCCAGAGTAAATATTTCAAAACAAACAGTTAAAAAACTCCCGGACTGGAGAGATAGTTCAGTGGGTAGAAGCTTAGACTTTGTCTGCAAGAGGCATGAGTTTGATCCTCATGACCCCGGAGCAGTGCTGTAGTGACCCCAAGCACAGAACAAGAAATGCAGGAATGCCTTGGAGTTGTTATGGCCCCAAAACCAAACCCAAAAGGAAAACTAAAAAGAAAAATAAACCCTCAGGAATTTTTTCTGTGTTCTGTATATTGGTAAAACTTAAAAGTAGGCAAAAACACCTCCTTTTGCTCAGAAGAAATGCCTACAAAGCATGAAACCCAGTCTAGAAGTTTTCTTAATAATAGTCCATGGGTTTAAAGTATAACCTTTCCAAATCCTTCATATTTTGATAGTCGGAAATTAGATACTGTTTTACAAGTTCAGTCTTTGAGCCTCATAACATGCAAGGGAAGAAGAACTCTCTGTCCTTTTTTGCAGATGAGAAAACAGGCTCAGAAAGGTTGAATAAATAACTCTAGGACATTTGGGTACAAAGTTACTGAGGCAGGGTTTAAATCCAGGCCAAGAGAGAGCTTACTCTGCAGCTTCACAGAGTCTCTCCAGAAGGTTGGTCTGAGCTCCAGGCTCTTTCCACATCTCACCTTTCATCTGTCCTCTCTTTTCTGTTTTGCTTTCCTCTTTGTTTTGTTTGTCATATGCTATGGGGAAACGCAGTTGCTAGTGGAAGGTGAAAACGTTTGTCAAAGTACACAACATCAGCCAGGAAACTTTAGTCCTCTTGGAAAGAACATTTGAACAGCTTGAGTGATTTGACATCCAGTATCACAAAAGTTTGGATGCTTGTGAGAATCAGGGTTGGTGATGGTTTTAGGGCTCAGAGTAGAAGTTTCTCTGTTAATTCTCTGTTAATCGCCTGAGGAGGTCCAAAGTGTATGTTGTTTGGCCGAAGGCTTTTTTTTTTTTTGGTCTTTGTCCTCAGGGCAGCTGCTCCCAGCTCTGTGCTCAGGGATCTGTTTCAGTGGTATTGAGGGACCATGGGGTCTGGGGATCATGCCCAGTTCTCTTGCAGGCAGAGCTTGTTCTCTCTCCAGTCCAGCCCCAAGTAGACGTGATCATGATACTACGCCCTTTCTTCAGGAGTGAAGCTGAATTCCTCGACATGTTTCTCCTGTGTTTTGTTTCAGAGGGCTGTGTGTTGATGCTCTCATTGAACTTTCTGATGAAAATGCTGATTGGAAACTCAGCTTCCAAGAATTCCTCAAGTGCCTCAACCCATCCTTCAACCCTCCAGAGAAGAGTACGTTTAATTTAAGAAATAGAAGGAACGGTAGGGGCATTTTGAGCGGGCCAGGTCTTTTTCAGGAAAAGGGGACTAGTGCACAGACTACAGTTAGGTTGCTGTGTTCCGCAATCACAACTAAACTGTTGCTCCTTATTTCTGGCGCCAACAGAATGTGCCCTGGAAGATGAAACCTATGCAGATGGAGCCGAGACTGAAGTAGACTGTAACCGCTGTGTCTGCGCCTGTGGGAATTGGGTCTGCACAGCCATGACCTGTGATGGTAAGTAGAGTCTCAGCAGGAGAAAATAGTGGGGAGAAAGCATCCTTCATGAAACCACAAGGACAGAAGTCGGGGCAGGGAGCAGCGATGGATAACAGTTTAGTGACTGGGAGCATCTGACACTCAGACTTCAATGGCCTTCCCACTGGACAGCAGGAGGGACAAAACATTTATCCAAGATGTTTTAAGTTCCAAAGTAGCTCCAAAGGTTTCGAACTAAAGAGGTTCAAGACCTAAGATTAAATGTTAATATGAAACTGGAATAGAAATGGTAGTAAAGAATGTAAACACTCAGTGAGAACTATGTGTTGAGCACCCTTCTAGCACTTTCCATATTACTCTGCTTCCTCTTTATGACATCTTAAGAAATGCTCTATGTAATTGATTTCAGGTGGCTAGAAGACCGAATAACTCCTCCTTGCCATCTACAACAAGCAAAGGAAGTATCCAGGGACACTAGAGAGACAGTACAGAGAGGGCAGGGTGTGTACCATGTGACCTACCTGGTTTAATCCCCTGTATCATAAATGGTCCCTTGAGCTCCGCCAGGCGTGATCCCTGAGCACCGAACTAGGAGTAAGCCCTGAGCACTGCTGGGTGTGGCCCAAAAACCGAAAAGAAATATTCATTGATCTTTGTATTAATGGAGTCGAGTAACATAGTAAGAAGAATGCTACCATAGTGGAGAATGGGTCAGGGAATGCGGGGAGGAGACAGATGTCAGATGTGGTTTAGGGATGGAGGATGGACACGGTGAAGAAATCACAAACATGTTGGAACTTTTAAGAATCCATTAGAGCCCTGATCTACAATAATACTAAAATGACCCTAACACCAGGTTGCAGAGCAGTGCTTGGACCAAACCTAGTGGTGCTCAGAGTTAACTTACTCCTGATTCTGCTCAGGAATTACTCCTAGAAGTGCTTGGGAACCCTGAGCAGTGCTGGAGCTCAAACAGGTTGGCCACATGCAAGGCAAGTTCCACAGTTCTTATGCTCTTTGTCCATCCCAAGAGAGGACTCTTGAATGAAAACAGCCCTAGGAAAAACCTAGGCACTAGGTAGCTTGGAGATAGGATGCTTGGAGATCTTGCCGGGTCTGCAGTAGAAGGTGACCATGGCCTTGGAAAGAAAGGTCTTTTGATAGGCACTAAGACCCAAATTTATACCAGCTGGGATGAAGCAAAATGGTATCATCAAGTCCACTGAGGCAAGAAAAAACAGGCTACTTCTGGGATCATAGTCAAACTCAGATAAGAAGTCAGAAATCAAAGACCAAGAAAAAGATTTCTTTAAGACAAGAAGCCAAACAAGACGAACAGTAGGGAGGGGTTTCAGCACTGCTTAGGGAATCAGAGCCTCCAACTGCCCAGGACCAACTCTCTTGTCAGTGAGGGAAGGTAGGAGGCCAAGCTAACTTAAGAGACAAGTGGAAGAGCAGGAACAGACTGTCCTGAGACTAGAATTGCCTGCACGTTGCTGAAGTGTGTGGCTTAAGATTAAGCCACAGTAGCCAGGTCAAGTATCCTGTAGCTGAAGTCAAGAGAACATCTCAGAACAGAAGCCCGGCCTATATCAGCAAGGAAGCTCATCCTCTTCAACCCCTTGCAGTAGCTCTCCATACAGAACTGATCCATTTGGCCTGGTGAAGGTAGCTGTCCATTTCTGAGGCCTAAACTGCTGGCGTCGTTCGGCAGAACTGTAAACATAATTATCTGGATGATCAGCCCCATGGGACAGTGCCCATCTCCACAGCCTCACATCCATGTTCAGCTGTTTCTCCCTCCTTGGATGGCCTAGATTAGAGCCCTGTGTGGCTACAAAGAGGAATCTAAATGGTGCCCTAGAGATCTCATCACATGAGATCACGTGTTTATGAACCATGGGCCTGAGAGGACATTGTAGAGGTCAATTCCTTCCAAGGCATTTTTAGGTCAATCTGGTTGTAAATTAAGAATCCCAGTTGGGGCATGCCAAGAACTCTACCCTCTGTACTATTTCTCCGGCCCTGTGGATTTTTTAAAATCACTGCAAATTTATTTGTGAGCCCTTGCTAGATGCAGTGGTTATCAACTCTGGCTGCATAGTAGAATGACCCATCGCGCTGGTGTCCAGGCCCCACCTCACAGCAGTTAAACCCACAGCTCTAAGAATGGAATCTAAACAGTTGTGTTTTGAAATGCCCTCTGAAACTCTTAAGAATAGTTGAGGATCACTGCTTCAGGGAAAGCTCCTGGTCAGGATTCAGATTTGCTTTATAGTTTGTGCTTCAGGGTAAGTTCCTCTCATTGATGTTTTGGAACAATTGAAGGAAGTAACGGGATCCTTGGTGAGAGGGGCCGGAGCTAGAATACCGCAGGTAAGGCTTGTACACGGCCATCCCAGGGTTAGTCTCCGGCACCCCGTATTGTCCCCCAACCCTAGCCAGGAGTGAGCTCACAGCACTCCCAGGGGTGGCCCAACAAACAAAGGAGAAGGAGAGAAACAAGTTGTGATGCTTGGCATACATAGTTGTGGTAATATCTACTAAAAGCAAATTTTGTGACGCTTTGGCTTATTTCCTTATGTCAGATTGTGCTGAGCCTTCGTTCTTTTTTTTTTAATTTTTATTAGTGAAACACCATGAGGTACAGTTGTAGACTTACAAAGTTTTGTGCTTGGGTTTCAGTTATATAATGATCTAGTACCCGTCCCTCCACCAGCGCCCATTCTCCACCACCAATGATCCCAGTATCCCTCCCACCCCCCATTTCCCCCATCCCTCACATACAAAAGAGCACCCCTTAGATTAACGGCCTTGGTTCTTCTTACAGGAAAGAATCAGAAGGGAGCGCAAATGCAGACAGAGGAGAAGACCAGACTCCTCAAGGAGTCCCAGAAGCCCCAGGTGAGTTGCAACCTCTGTGATCATCCCAATATTGCTCCATCCCCCTGGACCTGCTACACACACACCCTGCCCATTGCCCCAGAGATCCAGAGGACACACTCTTTCCAATATAATAGGTTTTGCATGATACCGTTTCAATCTGGTGGAATATACCTGCTGGTAAAGTATACTTTGATTCTGTTTCCTTGGAATCGCTAGAGGCCAGCAGTTCCCAACACATGCACGGTTCAGTAAAATTATAAGAATCATCTAAGTGGTCATTTGCAAGTGAGTTGAAAGTGAATTGCACATGAGTAGGAACTCGTGGAGTGTTGCCCTTCCTTGTCATCATCCATGCCCAGACTCAGACTAGTAGACAGTGGGCTCTCAGTGAGTGTGACATGAGTAGCCAAAAGGATTTAAGTTAAAGGACAAGCTGGTTAGAGAACAGCTTCAGAAATTACCGATTCCATCTCCTTACCCATATGTGCTCCTTGCAAGGGAGTTCTGGGATTTGTTTGCCATTGAATCCTTCATTTAGCACAGTGACTAGAATTGCCACATGGACTTGCTAAAATTTTGAGATGAAATACTTGACTTGGATATAAAGAATTAGTAATATGAATTATAACCTCAAAATAAATTGATGGTTCTTTATATGTATTTCATCACTCATAGAATTTTTTAAGCAAAAGCAGAATCTCCACGTCTTTTGTTTTTGCATGTTTTAGCCACCTCAAGACTTCAGTCTAATCCATGGAATTCAATAAGAATAGGAATTATTTTTCATCAGAATGGAGAAATGATTAGACATTGAGAGGTGAATTATAATAGCTCATCATTTTTAAGCGTCTGTTTATCTGCATTCTCACAGATGTAGACACTTGCAAGGTTTGCGTATGAGTGGATCTCGGAACTGCCAGAAGGGAAGTTAGGAAGTTGGAAGGCTAGGGGTACATTTCGGTCAAGAGTATGCATTCAGGTGCTTTGCAGCAAGTGGAGCTTAGTCCTGTGGGCAGCACCCAGAGGAATTCTAATTCAGATCAGCCATTAGCTGATGCCCTGGCATGTGTATGCAGAGAAAGCCCTGCGAGTTCCCTGGCATGTGTATGCAGAGAAAGCCCTCTGGAAAAGAAATACAGGTGCTGGCAGTAACAACCAGGACAGTGAACCCGGAGCTGTTAACTCCAGGGCTCTGGGTGGGGCCTGAGCAGTGTCCACTGAATTTTGGACACTATTATTGTTGTTTCCCTACTTATTATTTTTATTCAGATATAATTCACTTACCCTAAAATTCACCCCCTTAAAATAGTCTCCAGATTGCAAACTCTCACCACAGATTTATTTCAGAATATTTTAATCATTTCAAAAAGAACCCCTGTAGCCATTGAAAGTCATGCTACATTCTTTTCTTCCCAGTCCCTGGAAGCCACTCATCTCCTTTCTAACTCTACGGGTACCCTGTAAGTGAAATCATAAACATTACAGTGTTCGCTGTCTGGTTTCACATGTTTAGTATAGTTCTCTCAAAGTTTATCTTTGTTCCATGAGTCAGTACTTCATTCCTTTTTAAGGCAGAAACCTTCTTTGGTATGACTAGCCATTCATCAGGTTTATTCAGCCAGTCATTAGGTTTTTTCTTGTTGGCTCTGATGAATAATACTGCTGTGAACCTTGTACAGATTTTTGTATGGCCATCAGTTCTCAAGTCTCTTGAGTCTAATTCTATACTTCCCCCATTGAGGAACTCCCAGTGGCTACACTGTTTTAAATTTTTGCCAGCAGTGTTCCAATTTGCCCACACCCTTACCAACATGCCTTACTGTTATTTTTTTTATTCTAGCCTTTGTAGAGTGGGTGTGACATGGCATTGCATTATAGTTTTTATTTGGATTTCTCTAAGGACTCACGATGTCGAGTACCCTCTTGTGTGCTTATTAGTCAGAAATGATAATATCTTCTTTGAAGAAACATACCACTTGTATAAGAGATGGTTTTACACTCACATTGTGATTAAAGATATCAAGGCATGGAAAGTTTCCTCATACACCTACAGCCCTCCAAAGAGCAGACAGACCTGACTCGAGTTCAGGAAACTGCCTCTTAACACTTCTGGACTTGGATTTAACTTCTGGTAGCACATCCGTATATGCTACATAAAATGAAGCCTTTCCTTTACCCTGAAAATGGGGGAACAGTATTTCCTGTCTGTTTCTTAGAAGCTCGGATGGGGTCCAGCTCTTACTTTCCTGACAGTGCTGACATGAATTTATGAGTAGTAAGATGTGATCCTCTTCCTCACATTGCTTGCCGTCCACAAAGGAGGCAGCTAGTAAACGGAACTAACATCCACAAAAAACATTTGTCTTTCTGTGCTTTATAAATTCTGTGGTGCTCAGGAGGCCTGAGAGTCTCACTGGCAACTCTCAGCCACCTGCCCAGAGGTTCACTGCAAGGGCCTGAGGATGTAGTGCTATCAGGCCCTGTGGTGGTGGGGGTGGGGGGATATCCAGGCTCCCCCAGTAGTCCTAAGCCCACATCTGACAGTGCTCTGGGGCCTCCCGAGCCATACCCAGCCATGCTCAATGGTTCATGGGGCACCTTACTAGGAGTGGGCCTGGCTACTATATTGTCTCCTAGCCCCAAAAGTCTTAGGGACTGTATAATGGCTAATAAGTTTTCAAATGTTTCCATGACTCTTTACTTTCTCTTGTGTTTGAAAGGAAACAGCCGAAAAGACCAAAAGGGTGAACACCAAAGAGATCTGATGCAGAGACATCTGGAAAACGTGTCTGGACCCTGGCACATTCTTTTCCTGCGCTGAGTCCAGTATCTGCAAGTGTCTGCTACAGTCGCCAAATCACCAGTATTTGCTTATATAGCAGCAAGTTTTATTTTGTCTGTTTGTTTTGCAATAAAGGAAATTGGGTGGCCAGTTAGGAGGGGGAGAGGATCATAGCCTTCATGTCTAGGAGTGCTTCGATTGAGACATTATGAATGGTGCTGGGGGCTGGAAAGTAAGAAAACTGCATCAGGTTTGGGAGAGGAACAGATAGATCGAGACACCCTGGGGTCTGCCACAGCTATAAACATGCTGCCGTAGTGCGCGTGATGCCAGAGTTCAGTGGGCCGTCCCTGGAAGAGGTGTTGGTGGGGCAGTGAAGATGCACTCCCATGCCAGCTCTTTCTGTTGCCACCATATAGCAGCCTCAGACATCTTTCCTTCTCGTGGCCCCGACTATGGCCTCGGGATACATAGCCATCCTGCTAGCTACCCAGAGACCCTCAGATCTGATGGGATTTCTGAGAGGCTGAACTCAGATGAAGCAAATACTTGTTTACTTGGATCCCCGTGGACACCCAACCAAAATCTTTCAATACTTTTTACCAAAGGTGCTATTTTTCTGTAAAACTTTGTTTGGGCAGGTTGACTTCATTTTACATTATTATCATATTATTGTTGTTATTGTTTTTAAGGTTTGACTTTTTTGGCTAGCATTTGTAATTCTTTTTCATTAGTCCTACCATTTCAAAGGTGGAAGAGCTTGGAGGTACTTCCTGATGCAGGGACCACTGTACCCCCAGACTCTTCCCTCCCTGCTGCCAGAGCTTGCCCCCCCCCCCCCGACCCCAGCAGTCTACCACAGAAGCAGTGCGTGCCTCCGACAGGAGCCAGGGGAAGAGGCAGGATCATACAATGCTTTCAAGATCCAAAAGCTCTTTTTAATTTCCATTTATTCTGAGAAGTGCATGCAAATTTGTATTCCAAAGGGTGGAGACAAGTGCAGCTGAGCAAGGCTTAGATACGCAGCCTATTCATCTGCTTACCTTGAGCTAGGACAGTAACCCCATCCTTGTCTCTTCAGCCTGTTTCTGGGTCTCAGTGTCCTCAATAAGCAGGCAGGTAGGAATGCATTACCCTCTTGATTTAAGAATTGATAAATTCTATGACTAGTCAAGAAGAAATGAGGTCCCTATGATATCTCATCCTCTCCTAGGATAATTGAAATACTATTAGAACAAAAAGAATTAAGTTGTCAAAACAAAATGACCAAACTTGACCCTGAGGAGTTCACACAGGTGGTACTGTGATGTAGAGCCTTTAGGGCAAAGCCTGCTCTTCGTCTTTGCAGCTCATAATTAACCTCTTCTTGCCAGCAGAAATAGCTTTCCTTTGAGAATGAAGACAAATGAAGGCTTCACGTTTCAAGAAAGAAATGTGGAAATTACATCTTAAAAACGATTGAGGAGAAATCAATAATTCCTGTGTCTTTTGACCTTATAATTTTTAACCCCACCCAGTGTCATGTGTAAAATGCAATTGGAAAAGAAAACCAAGATAAAAAATTTGACGTAAGATCTCTTTTCAGAAAGCAGATTATGGACCACCAAAGGGAAATTGTGCTGAAAATAAGATTCGTTCTAAATCAGTCTCCTTATTCTGCTCAAGGAGAACATCCCACTTTGTTTAGAGTTCTGAGCTTTTATCTCTGATCCCACTTAAAAGCTGTGTTCAAAGAGAACCTCTCTCTGAAGTACATCCCACAATGCATCTCCCTGTCCAAGTGCCTTGGAGAAGTCCCAAAGCATGGCTTGATCAATTGCCAGCCCTTGTATACTAAGGGAGAAAAGGCAGGAGTACAATTTTGTTTAAAGAGAGAAGACAGAGTGACCCTCACATATTCCATGTAGAACAGTGGTTCTTTTCCAAGAGTAACCTACCCTGCGGCATTGAATTCCCAGGAACAAATCTGCATTTCTCCTATAAAGAAACTTGTTGCACCATAAAGTCACATAATCTGATCATTCATGGAAAGCTGCTTAATAATCTAATTTGGGGAATTTTGCTAGAGCTTTGCTTGGAGCAAACAAATTCAAAGCTGGGCTCAGAATTTCTGGCTGTGAAGTATATGCAGAGACTACAAGCTTCCTTGGGCTGCTGTGTGTATTACAGCATCTGCCAAGCTTCTTTGTCCATGGAAACATGTCATGATTCTGGACTCCTTCACTATTTTTGAAAGATAGAGCTCCTTCATGGGCAAAGCAGCCCCTGTGGGCCAGACTCAATGTCTTTCCTTTCACTTATGTTTTCAAATAGTCGTATTTCAAGAAATAAGTTTAAATAGGTTTCTGTTGCCTATGTGTTTGTGAAATGCATTGTATTTGGTAGGCTTCCATATGCATTTAACTTGTTTTTGTATCTACTGGTTTCGGGTCCCCCTCCCATTTGGATACTATTGATAAATAAAGAAAATGAAAACAATGTTAATTGTATTGCTCTCCTTTACCCTAATCCAGGCTGAATGAATCTGGGAGCGTATTATCCATTTGCCTCATAAAAGAGAATGTAGGTTTCAAACCCTTAAAAGAGATCTGAAGAATTTCTCCGAAGAAAAAATACTTGGAATGAAGCTGAAATTTTAATTTTTAGATAATCAGCCTATTAATCTGTGACTTTTATCTCTTTTTAAAAATTTTTATATTTGTTTTCTTTTTTCATTCCTCACCCCCTCAGGGATCACTGCTGGTGTTTGGGGGCAGAGGTGTCAGGGACCATATGGGAGATCGAACCAGGGTCAACTGCTGCATGCAGTGCAGGCGTCTTACCTGCGGTACTCTTGTTCCAACTCCAAGATTTCTTTGGTTTTTGTTTTGGTTTTGTTTTTTAAAGAATCCTGGTGGTGGATCTGGGGAAGAAGGTGCTGAGAAGCCAGGGAACATTTCTGTACTGGGAAAAGGTCAAACTAAATGATTCCCAAGGCCTCTGGCTTTTGTAAAACAAGTGGCATCTAACGAGACTAGCTGCAGGTGAACCTGGAGAAGAAGTGAAACAAACCTGGGGAGGTGCTGGGGCATTCCAGGGTCAGGTTGAGTCATCTTGGTAACGCTCACCTGATACCCAAATGGCCCAAAAAAGACATTTCCAAGTGGACTGAATGTTGTTTAATGAAGACCCTCTGTTCTATTCTATCTAGGAGACACCTAAGATTTGCTTTCCAGCATTTTGGTTGTGTGTGTGTTTGGAGGAGGAGGGGAGGGAAGGGGAGAGGGTTGTGGCAACACCTGGTGATGCTCAAGGGCTATTTCTGGCTTTGTGCTCAGGGACTGTATGTGGTGCCAGGGACCCAACAAGGGTCAACTGCATGCAAGGCACGAGCTTCCCTGTTACAGCTCTGTCACCAACACCCCGCCCTTTCCCCAATCCTACCCAGTTCTCTCAGTACAGATGATGTTGTTTAAGCCTTATTTTATTCATATGTTTAGAAACCTTGCTTCTCTCAAATTATGTCCAGGTGATTTTGATTGAATTAGGGTTATTATCCAAATGCTAATCACATATTAAGGATGATTTCTGGTTATGTTCTTGCTATAAATACTGATCTCAGTCACAACTTGGGATTCTTTAATTTTTCATTCTCAGAAAGGCATCTTAAACCCAGTTTGAAGAGTACCTTGTCCACTCCACAACCACTTTCAAATACTGGCTGGCCTCTGCTACCTCTTAGAACCTCCACTATGCTCTGGAAATACTTTTCCTGCTATTACAGTTGATATCAGTTCAGGGAGTAAACATAAATTTTGAGAGCCAGAAAAAGGCATAATTCAGAAAGTAGGTCTCCTATAATCAAAATGTAATATTATGAATTAGTTCAAATTAGCACAAATTGCATTGATTAGCATTAGTTTTGGAGTACTCTTATTAAGTTATCAGTCCTCTTTAATTATCCTAAAGTCAAGAGAGAGGGGAAAGAGGTGGTTATGACTCTATAAATCTGAACAGCTCTGGAGTGACTCTAGCATTGATGTAGGACGTGAAGAAAGGAAACCCCATGCTCTGGCTGCTTAAGGCTATTTGATAGGACACACTCATTGCTGTCAAAAGGGGGTGGGGGGGGGGTCTTGCTATCAACACAAGTTATTTTCTCAAATTATTGAATTTTTTATTTCTGAAAAAAATGTACCTGGTAAATAAGAACCCAAACTTTAAAAACACATTATCCTAGATGTGTATGTAAAAGTAAAAGTAAAGGCCCTCCCGTTGATCATTGATTTGCTCAAGCGGGCCCAGTAACGTCTCCATTGGAGACTTTGTTGTTACTGTGTCTGGCATATCGAATACGTCACAGGGAGCTTGCCAGGCTCTGCCGTGCGGGCAAGATACTCTCGGTAGCTTGCCGGGCTCTCCGAGAGGGGCGGAGGAATCGAACCCGGGCCGGGCCGGCCATGTTGGCTGCATGCAAAGCAAACGCCTTACCCGCTGTGCTATCGCTCCAGCCCATGTGTATGTAATTTATGAATTTGCTTATGTAGTAAATGTCAATTATCCTTCAAAGAGGTTATACCCATTGGAATTTACATCAAATTTTATGTGTTGAGGTTATTTCCTATATTTTACAAGTGTTAGGAAACAACAGTACTCCACTGTTGCTTTTTAAAAATTACTTGTTTTATTCCTTTGTGATATTGTGATATATCCAAAAAGTATAGCTTCTGTCATTACCCTTGCAAATTTTTATTCATTTTAAGATATTTTTTAATTTTTAATTTATTTTATTGTTGATACAAGTCTAGAATTCAAATTAATTAGTTAACAAAGCTCCAATATTAAAATCAATAAATATCAAAAAATCTATTTTGATGTTCTATTCGATCACAGGGTTGTTAAATCCTTGTCTTAAGAATTTATTCATCTGCTTGTTGTTAGTTGAACATTCTGTATTATTGTCTTTGTTTTTTGAATTTATTTGGCTTTAATGTTACTTTTCTATTTAATTTGGTGTGCTTCTACTGAAATTTCAATATTGAGGATTTAGGAGGTGTCCCGCAGCTATATAAGTGGCCACATGGTCCAAAGACTTCAGACCTGTAAATATGGTCTGAGTGTGATTCCTGAGTATGACCTCAAAATAAATAAATAAATAAATAAATAAAGTGGCTTAATGATAGTAGCTATTTCATTCATTTTTTTTTTTTGAGAATTCAGTAATCTAATGTGTACAGCATATTTTCCTAGTGCCTGGCACATAGAAAGTGCTACATCAAGCATTTTATTACCAATGATTTTCAATTATTACACATTCTTTTTTGGGGGGTCACACCCGGTGATGCTCAGGGGTTACTCCTGACTCATGTACTAAGGAATTACTCCTGGCAGTGCTAAGGGGACCATATGGGATGCTGGGAATCAAACCTGGGTCGGCCATGTTGGCTGCGTGCAAGGCAAACGCCCTACCCACTGTGCTATCGCTCCAACCCCCTATTACACATTCTTATATATTTTTTAAATTTTTTATTGAACATCCATGAGTTAGACCATTAGGAAACTGTTTATGATTGGGTCTTCAGTCATACAATGATTCAACACCCATTCCTCTACCAGTGTATATTTCCCACTACTAATGTCCCCCGTTTCCCTCCCACCATCCCCTAATACCTCCCACACACAGTTATGATTCTTGGATTAACACTGTGGAGAAATATTTTAGAGTTAAAAGACATACAATTTATTAAAAGTTTTGGTAGCTATCTAAAACCATAAACTAGCCAGGAACAGAATCTGGATTCAAACCTGGGTCCCGCTCATACTTTCTACTTCGTTTTAAAGATCTCCATATGCACCTGAATCATTAATACATAATTAATATTATCTATTATGGAATTGTGGAGCGTGTATAATTTTTTGGCAGAGAAATGGTTTAGGACACCCCAGCAGTGTTTAGAAGTATTTTCTGGTAATGCTCAGGGGAACCATGAAGTTTCAGGGATTAAACCAAGATCAACTCTGTGAAAAAGCAAACACCTAAACTCCTGTGCTATCTCTCAGTTCTGTCACTTCTATAACTCTGCCCATCCTCTCACTTTGGTTTCTTTAAAGTAGCTCTGTGTGGCTCAAGCGAGGCTTCTAAATTTCCCTGAAATATGATCTCTAATATGATCATATGATTTCCCTGAAAACTTGGTTTCTCCAGGAATCATGCCAGCCAGTCATTGTGGGTCCCCCAACCTCCTCTAGTACACACCTCAAGAATTTTGGCTGGTTAGTGCACGGCGCCGTAGCTTAATGCACAGTCCGTTCACACTCCTGCCAAAAGCTGCTGGATTCCGAATTAGGTCTGTGTGCCTCTGGGGCCATGGTCATGCCAGAGAGCTGCTCCTGGGGGGCCAACTTGTGGTCTCCGTGGGGCGGGAAGGACGTGCCAGTTCCACCCCCATCCTATGAGGCTGCAGGTGCCCCATCACTGCCATCATATGTTCTCATAACCAGAAATAGAAAACAAACTATTTCATGATGCCTTTTCAGCAGATCTGATTGTTGGGGGAAATTCCAGATAATAATGGTGCATCTTTTGTCAAAATAATGAATGTAATCAGAGTAGAGAGAGAGTTAAGTGGAAACCATCTGTCTCACAGGCAGGAGTAGGGATGGGATGGGGGATATATTGAGGTTCTTGGTGGTGGAAAATGTGCTCTGGTAAAGGGATGGGTGTTTGAACATTGTATGACCAAGACTTAAACCTGAAAGCTTTGTAACTGTTCTCACGGTGATTCAATAAATAAAAGAAGAAGAAAAAATAATTTTGACTGGTGAAAATCTTCAGCATACACATGACAGATCTGGACAACTGCAGAAACCTCCCTTCTCCCAGTGATGACCTGTGTGCAGGTTGTCAAAGGAGACAGATGTCTTCTCTCTACTGAAACCACTTCATCACCAAAATCCAGCAAGTCAAAAAGTTGGTATTTTGAGCTAATTAAAATACGGTCTCTGAACAGTGCATCTGTATATGTGTGTGTGTCTGTCTGTCTGTCTCTCTTTCTCTCTTATCTCTCTCTCATTGTCTCTCTTTCTTCCTTATTCTGACCACATTTAGATGGACTCAAGGTTTGCTCTTGACTCTGTGCTAATGGTCACTCCTAGTGGTATTTAGGGGACCATATGCAGTTCCAGGGATCAAAATCTGGGTCAGCTGTGTGCAAGACATGTACCTTACCCACTGTACTATCTCTCCAGCCACAGTTTTCTACCTTTTCTATTCTCTTACATGCCTTTTTTCTCTTCTTTTCCCTGCCCAAGCCTGAGTCCTGTGGGGCTCAAAGAGAGATGTCACCTTCTTGCTTCCTAAAGAACAAAAGTAGAGACTGTATCACTGTCTCTAGACCACATCATATTCAATGGATGGTTTTGCCTGACCGATGTCGCTGTTGTCCCAAAATTTCGAACGGGATCGGACCACCATCTCCTTCGTGCAAAATTCTACTTCA